TGAAAGCGCTCTCCACATCCTGCAGCCTCTTTATCAGTTAAAATATAAAAAAGCACCTGGAGTTTGGAAGTTGAGCGCCACCAGCTGCGAGCCGCAGAGCCACATGGGCAGCGGGTCGTAGTTGGACGAGTCCAGCCTCTGTCCTCGGGGGTACACTCTGGACAGCTGCCGGCGGTTGTACTGCAGGAAGCGCTTCCCCCGAGCGCGTGTCGCAAACTTCTCTGCCTTCGTCTCGGGGAAGGAGGACATGTCCCGAAAACAGGCTCGCTCCGTCCCGATCTCTGCGAAACAATAAGCAAACGTACAAAATAAACAAACTTATAAAAATAAATAAAAGCACCGACAGGTAAACGTCTTCGTAAAGCTCGATCCTTACTGTCCTCGTTGAAGGGGACGGGCCGGCAGTAGACCACCAGGTCAGATAACTCCACGGCGATCTTCTTCCTCCTCTCCATCTGTTTCTCCTCCTGCATCTGTCGCAGTGGAAAACGATCATCAGCATCTTCTTCTTTTTCACATTTTATTCGTTTAGAAAAACTAAACATGAGTTACGTTTTTAAGTTTTTGGGGTTAGCATGAGTACCCATGAGCAGTCAGCGTCTTACCTGCAACAGAACGCAGTCAAGATTTATTTTGAGCAGCTTTTCTGAGCAGGAAACGTTCAAGAGTGACTTTCAACATTTAACTCAACAGTCTGAGTGACCAATATGTTACTTTTTTTTAAAACTAAGGATGGATATTTTAAGCAAAAACTGTATTTAATTTCATCCGGTAATTATAATTTTTTTAATGATTTTTCTCTCTTCAAATAACCAAGGCCAGTTGTTCAAAGGTAATCTGATGTTATTTTGGAGAATGGAATGGATAAAATCTTGAAAATGCTTTGTTTAAAACCAAGAATGGATTCTGAAATAAGATTAAATCACCTAATTCAGTCGTGTTGAAATTATAGACTACTTYACATTACATATCTGTAAGGTAGAATCTAAATATTCTCCTCAATAACTGTCAAAATTAAAAACAAAACAAAAGAAGCTTAACTTTAATTGGAAACGTAAAGTGCCTGTGACATGCATGTCCACGAAATACAAAAAGTCAAAGAAAATATATTTATATTTAAGAAACTTGGCCCAGTACACATGATTTTACCCATTATGTTACATAACTGGCACATTTTCTAATGACCTTGGCTCAGCTAAAGTGAAACAGGAAGTGACATCAAAGGGGAACTCTTTGAGAAAGAAAACTCTGGTTTTTGTTTATTTGAATTATATTATTTGAAAATAATCTAAAGAAGCCTCAGATTCTTCTCTACAATCGGTGTTGTTAGCCATGTTAGCAACGCTCTGTTCACATGCAGACATTCCCCTTTGACATCACTTCCTGTTTCTTCACATGCAAATATTTCAACAACTGTTCATCTGAGGGGCATGAAATCTTTTTTACAATATGTTATCAAGGTCATCCTTCCAAAAATACATTCATTTTTATTACAAAAATCTGATGTCACAGGCACTTTAATATTTACAGGATCTGCAGGAACACAAAAGTCATTATCCTGAAAGCAAAGTTTCAAACTTTTTTTTTTGTTTGGTTAATTTTATTTTTTTATACAGTATTTCAAGGTCGACTTTTTCATTTTAAAATTAGGTTTTAAATTTAAAATATRTAAACACGTGTCATGGCAGGTTAAGAGACAATGCAAATATGTTGTTTGTATTATTTTTTTTAATAAATATATTTTAAGTCCGTGGTTCCCAAATTTTTCAGTTTTTGACCCACAAAATATATTTGTTGTAATATATAGTATAAACAAGAGCATAGTAACATTATTTATTAGGCTATTTTTGTCCATTTTAAGTACAGTACTCTTATTACTTTGTAACAACAAAAACAATTTAAAAAATCCTTGTTGTCAATTTTTTAGTGAAATTATTTTAGAAAATATTTTCAAGACCCCACCTTGATGTTTCAGGACCCCACTGCTTTAAGGGACCTGATGCTGGCGGTTCTACTGGTTTTTCCAGCCTTCGGTGTGATATAGTTTAATTTAGAGCGCTCATTATCCAGATTTGGTCATGGATTCAAAAACCTGGATCATTTAAATCCAGAACTGGCCCCTGAAGATTTTTTTTTATAATCTTTCATCTTCACGTGTCCTGACGGTGAAGCTGAGCTCGTTATTTACTGACCCGAGCGTCGGCGTTCTGCGCGGCCTCCCTGATTCTGCCGACCCAGCCCGTCAGGTCCTCCAAGCTGTCGGCCGCCACGTCCAGAGTCTGGACCGGGTGGGACGAGAGGGCCTGGGAGTGGACGGCGAAGACGAAAGGCCGCGAGTTCTTCCCGTCTTTATACACCACTGGAACGCAGGAGGAGTCAATTCACAAGGACGTCATTTTCTAAGGTTTGATTTTAAATTCAGATTTAAGTTGTTTCTTCACCAACGTGGCAGGAGGGTACGTCGATGAAGCCCTTGAGGAAAGTGCCCAGAGGACTGTTTTCTGTCGACTAAAATAAACAAAAAAAGGAGCTGTTTTTTTTAAAAAAAATTTACGGTTTTATGAAAAAACAAAAGCACCAGACATCCCGACTCACCGCCTCGTCCAGCTCTCTGGAGGGGGAGCTGGGCGCCTCCTCTACATAGTTGGCGGGAAACCACAGCTGCTTCTTTCCTCCGTAGTCGCCTCGCCACCTGAACACAAACGTGTTAACGTGTGGGGGGAGGGGYTTCTCGCAGAACCGAGGTGTTGGCACTCACCAGCCGCCTTCCTGTTTGTCCACGTTGACGGTGAGCGCCTGTTTGGGGAAACAGAGCTCGTCCTCTCGCTGAGCTCTGTAGTCATACAGAGCTTTGACCGTACACTGAGAAACCCCGCAGGTAAAAAAAAAAAAAAAAAAAAAGAAAATCAAGTCAAATATACGTAATTTATATACGTAAATTACGTATATAAATACGTGAATTTTTTTCCCTTCTCCAACCGATGGGATTAGTAGGACCTAATAAGTATAATAACTAAACTCTGTCACAATACAGGAAGTAGTTTTCGCAAAACAAAACAAAAACCTATGTCCTTATATGAGGACACTGGGTCTCAAAATGTCACTACTATGCAAGACTTGGAAAAACATCATCATAGCCTTTCTGAGGAATCCTTTTCCTGGTTATTTTGGGGAAACAGCAGCCAACTGTTGTTCTGAGGAAGATCAGTGAAAAGTATCATCATCGTCATCAATGACAACTTTCAGATTGCTCGTCAATTTGAAGAACCGATAACGAGATATGATGGCAAGAAATCTCAGAGCATTTAACCAGAACACCCTTGGTATTCGGGGTGTCCCGATGCAACTTTTTCACTTCTGATATGATGCCGATATTGCTGCCTTGAGTACTGGCCGATACCGATATCGACCCGATACGAAATCAAAACGAATCACGCATGCTTTTATTACTGTTTTTGAAGTTTGGAATCTTAAAAAGTCAACAGTAGCTGCATTTCCATAGCAAATGTGCGCAAAACTTTGTCGATATTCTGTTAATGCCGAAAAAACAGTTGCGCAATTGTGGTGTTTCCATTAAGTAAGAAATGCTATTAATGTCACGCGTGAATACGCTTGTTCTCACGATAATTCATTACAAACATGGCGGCAACAGATGTAAACACRTATTGCTACCACGACACTAGCGCTTATCGTCAGCCATCAGAGGAGACGTCGGCTTCTTATCGAGGCTTTCAAGCAACAAGCCTCTAATACTTGCAGCATTTTTGGGAAATTGTAGTCAGTGAGTTTACTACTTTCTTTTACAATTTTGTTGATTTTACTACTACTTCTACTTCCTGTTTTCTTCTTTGTTGTCTTTTTCACCAGTAGAAACAGCCGGTTGTTGATCACGTGACTCCCGTGATGCAAAACAATTGTTTCCATTGCAGTTTTGCGAAATACACCAATTTTGATACGGCCGAAAAACCACTTCATTCTAGTGCAAAATCATTTTGTTGAAAATCGTAAGTTTTTTTCGAAATTGATGTGTTTCCATTGAGCAAATTTATTTACGAAATTCTATTTTGCGCATTTTCATGGTCAATGGAAAAGCAGCTAATAATAGGTATGAGAAAGACTGGTCTCATTTATTATCAACCAAAGGGTTGCATTTTCTTTTTTATTTTAACATAAGAATATTGTACAAATAAATACAATAAAACAATAATGGAACAGAAAACTCTGAAAAATTACCTCAATAAATCCAATAAAAACAAAATATACTCAAGGTATTCAAGGACACTTTAGTTTTTTACGCTGGATCCAAGCTCTGCTGGATAGAAATCCTGAGTGGACCACTGGATGAACTGCTTGTATCAGAGTGCTTACATCAGTGATCTTAGAGGCAGGCTGATATAATATGATATTCATATTTTGGCTAATATCAGACCGATATTGATATAGAATAGGGACATCTCTACTTGGTATAATTAATTGGTTGAACAAATGAACCATTTGTAAGAACTATTTATATTTGTGAACTCTTCTAAACATTCCCAGGTTTATCCAACCACACGGCACAATCAATAACAAAATGTAGTCCCAATGTCCTCAAACGAGGACTTCATCTTTACCAACATTTTACTTTGCTAAAATTGCAAAAAAATTGTCAAATTTCTAAGCCTTATGAAGCTAAATATGACCATTTGACCATTTTTCTGACGAGAGCTGCTGTAGAAGCTTATTATGTAACAAACCCCGCCTCTCAGCCAACATGAGCAGATAAATGTTTTACAGTGATGGCAGTGTTTTCAGACTCACTTCCAATGAATGAGTTTCATCGGTCTGCAGGGCTGTTTCATTCCAGTTTTTTATTATGTTGTAGCGTAGAAGTTAATGTTTCACCATGTTTTTGATCAAATTAATTCTGCAGTTTATCTGCGGTGAAACTGACTCCATTTCAACAAGCTTCCAAACATGTTGAAGCTTATTATAACACTCAATAAAAAGTAGAGTACACCAAAATATAACATTTTATCTAAATAGTGGCTGAGTTTCATTTGATCGGGCAAACAGGATTTTTTAAGTCCCCAAACCTGTCAACGTTATGACCAAAACAAAACCATTTTCTCTTTGATCCTCAATTAATTAATGATAAATAAAAACAGCCAATGTTAAGGGCATGCCATTTCCTACTTATCCTGAAAATTACAACCAATTATCTCAAGAAATAAAGAAGTTACGGTTTTTATTATTTATTTTTTGTTATTGCAGAATCGTCACAAGTTTTCTGGGTTTTCAACATTAAACCATCGGAAAAAAGTTGAGCAATTTTTCGATTGAGCGTAGTTTCAATTATTCCATCACTAATATTGACAATCTTGGTGTCAGTCTCTTAATTTTTTAAATCTCTATGCATTACATTTGTAAAAAGAGCAAATCATGGATTTGTATATTTTTTCCTGGGATCCTCGTCATCTTGTTTTCACTGAAGTGAGTGTAATGTTGTCATGTGACCACTAAATGGTGTTGGTAGTGTCTATAACGAAGCCAATGGGTCAAAGTTGAAAAAAGTTATCATGGCACAGATGGTCATAAATGCAACGTCCTCGTATGAGGACGTGGGGTCTCAGGAGGTACACAATCAATACTAAGTATTTAAACTACTCTAATCTGGTAAATCATATTATTTTTCACCAATCCCTCACTTATTAAACCATAAACAAACATAAGATCCAGCTCCAGCTCACCCGCGCTGTGGGCATCTTGTTGGCCTCCACGTAGAAATGAGGAGTTCGGACCTCGTACAGCGCTCCGTAGTCCAGCTCCTGAGGAAGACGAAGCTGGTAAACTCTGATAGAAAACACAGGAAGCCTGAAGCATCGGTTTCTAACCCACCGTGGTGCCCATCCGGTCCAGAGTGTCTTCGTTGATTGGGTATCGGAGCTTCATCTTGCGGTACAGAGGATGCTTCTCGTAGTAGCTCACCAGATCCACCAGACTCTCAAACTCCGCCGAGCTTCCCAGCATGAAGAGGCGATCCTCCTGCTGGATGCGGCAGTGTTTGATCTTACCCTCCGCCCTGCGGGGTGACACGAAAAACAAGAAGTTAAAAACACCAACATCCGTCAGTCTGTCAGTCGCCGACGGAGAACAAACTCTGGTTGCACCTGAAGGAGATGGCGTAGGAGTTGTGTTCGCTGCGTTTCCGCACCAAGAAAGCTCCGTCTCTGGGAACGCGCATCAGCATGTGTTCRGCCTGAACACGGGTCAGATTGGAGTGGTACCACCTGGACAACAGGAGACTTGAGAATCAGCTTTAATGTCATCAATATTTCAAACTCAAGATAAAAGCAGCTCACCTGTTTTCTGCTTAATGTTTAACAGTTAGCTTACCTGTTTTATTGATGTTTGTGCTCAAAATAACGTGTTTTTGTAACTTTATCTAAATAATCTTGGTTTCAATTTAAACACCTGTTTTCTAGCTGAAGTTTAACAGTTAGCTCACCTGTTTTCTACTTAATGTTTAAGGTTTGAAGCACCTGTTTTTAGCTGATGTTTAACAGTTAGCTCACCTGTTTTCTACTTAATGTTTAAGGTTTGAAGCACCTATTTTTAGCTGATGTTTAAGGTTTTTTAGCTGATATTTAAGGTTTGAAGCACCTGTTTTTAGCTGATATTTAAGGTTTGAAGCACCTGTTTTTTAACTGATGTTTAAGGTTTAAAGCACCTTTTTTTAGCTGATATTTAAGGTTTGAAGCACCTGTTTTTAGCTGATATTTAAGGTTTGAAGCACCTGTTTTTTAGCTGATGTTTTGCTAATTTAAAGCTAACATTTTGGAGGTTTTATGAGAAGTATCAAACAGCTTTAATAGTTTCAGAAATAGTAAGATTGGAACAGAAAAGTAGTATTTTTCCCCTCGGTCCCTTCGAATAACTACACATTTTTTTAAAAACACAATATTTCCAGAACCAGAGCGATTTTTCAGGTCTGAGGATCTCACTCTCTGCTCTCGTGAGCGTTGGGCTGCGGCACCGGGTTTCCCAGCTTCATCTTGAACTCGTTGCAGCGCAGCGGCGTCTCTCTGTAGTGGCAGATCAGGCGGTAGAGGCTGTCGAACATCAGGTTGTCCGTCAGGTAGAAACGGGTGGAGCCAGACTCCTGACGGGAGTGGATCCTGCAGTGCTGAACCCGACCTGAACGCCTGCAGGGAGGCGTAGGAGCTGATTTATTTATTTGTTTATTTTAAATCTGGGAACAAAAGTGTTTTAGCGCCAGAACCCACGGACCAGAAGGAGAGGGTGTAGTCTCCGACAAACGTCTCACTCTCCCGCACCAGGAAGGTGCCGTCCTTCCCGCCGCCCTCGCAGTACTCCTGCAGGAGCTTCTCCGCCACCTGCCGCCCGTCCCGCCCGCCGCCCAGCTTCCCGTGGAACCAGTGCTCGGCGCAGTGCTGCTCGTTGTTGTTGCACTCCTGTCGGACCGGAGAGCGGAGTTACGGATCGTCAAAATAAAATCACCAAGTCGTCGTCGTCGTCGTAATCCTTTACCGCTTTCCCTTCATCGTCCTCCTCTTCGTCGCTTGTCTGGTAGCGAGACGTCTCCTCGGAGTAATAAATCTTTTTGCTGGTCAAGACGAAATAATGCGGCGTCCACGTCTGTAAAAAATAATAAATAAAATTCTGAAACATTTAGTTTGAAGGCGTAACAAACAAAAAATAAACAAAAAATTAAGAAATATAAGTTTTAAAATYTATTGTGTTTTATTTAAGGATTCACTTGATGTATATTTGACTCCACCCCCTGCAGGGGCGGAGCTAGACTTTTTGCAATTGGTGGCCCAAGTGCTTTTTTTTTCAGGGGGGGACACATACAAATAAAATCTGATTTAATAATTCAAGATGGCCGCCACAGCTAAWTCCAAATTGCTTTACTTCAGCTGTTTTTGGAAATACTGGGCTGAAATTATGAAACACGCTGAACACTAGATACAACAGCTATTCAGACATACAAAGCTGAGGGTTAGTGTGGAAGTGSCCGAAAACAAGCTAAATGCTAATGAAAAATTCAAGATTGCCACCACAGCTAACTTTAAAAGGCTAAAATTCAGCGTTTTTAAGACTTGAGATTAAATTTGTTGTGGAGTAGTTAAGAATGATCATGTTGATATAATGCTAACCACTAAATTAAGATAACCACTAATGCTAATGCTAGTTTACAAAGGGCTATATTTCTGACATTTTTCAACACACACATTAAATTAATACAAAAAATAATACAGTAGAATCAGAGAACAATCTTTAACTAAATCAAAATGCAAATACAAAATCCCCATTGTTAATTTTTTGGGGGTGGCACCTGGGGTGGCCAATCAGGTGCCACCCCTCTGGCTCTGCCCCTGACCTCCAGGTAGATTGATATACCAATTGTCTGGAAGATTGTGTATTTACCACTGTATATACAACACTCAGTAATAGCTTTTTCATTATTTTATTCTTTCCTTTAACCAATCAGCATTAAGACACAGTCCTCCATGAGCTCGGAGCCAGTCAGATTTCAGCCTTAGTTTTCGTTCACTGTTTTACATTTTAGCTCCTTAAAACACTCCAGTAATCCACTGGACATCAATAAAATGAAGAGTGCTGATCTCTCACGTGGTCGATGGGGTCCTCCAGGTAAAGGATGCCGTTCTTCAGCGAGTTGCTGATGTCGTTCTCGGAGTAGCTGGGGGACGTCACCTCCTCACACACGGTTCCTTCCACCAGCTTCTTGTGCTGCGGCGAGAACAATGGAAAAAACAGAAGACGCTCTGAGCCGYGGCTCTAACCGTCAGCCGAAACTGAAGCGATCGGCTCGTTCGAAGGTTTCACCTTGATGAGGATCTTCCTGCGGAGCTGGTGGGGCGAAGGAAGCTCGTCTGCGCCGTTGTCCACCGGCTTGGTGAGCAGCAGATCTCCAAACACCTTCTTAAAGTGAGTGGCCATGTTCCGCTGTTGGACCACACTGCAGTGGTCCTCGATTGACAGGATGATGGGATACCTGAGGGGTAGCGAGGGAGAAGGTCCAGTTTGTCAGTGAAAATAATCCAACCGGGAGAACTCGAGTCTGGATCGGACATACTCGGACGTGACGAAGGCGTGTTCTTTGATGGTGTGCAGCACGTCCAGGAATTTGATCTTGGAGGTTAACGTGTGTCCGTGGTAGATGATTGGCAGATCGTCGGGTCCGTCCCAGCAGTCCACTGAGGTCCAAAGACACAGAATCAAACATAAACATCAAACGCAAAGGTCTGATTACCGTTCGTTCACTTGGTTATGGTACAGTATGAGGGCCAAAATTAAGACTATTGCACAACCAGCGGTTGCTACMTCCTTGTAGCAGGAGGCTAAATCTATTCCTAAGTCAGCTATTGATCTGATAAATGATAGGCCGGCACCGCTAACTGAGAGGCTGGTGCTGGCAAATGAGAAGGAGACTATTCATTTGTGTTAGCATGAGAGAGGCTAGACATTAGCATGGATAAGCTGGTGTTAGYATCAGAAAGGCTTGTGACTAGCATGCCTAGGTTAGTGAACCACTGGTTTGCCAACTCCCCCTGCTGTCCATTAGCATGGATAAGCTGGCGTTAGCATTGGAGAGGCTAACGACTAGCATGGATAAGGTGGCATTAGCATTGGAGAGGCTAGTGACTCGCATGGATAAGGTGACATTAGCATTGGAGAGGCTAGTGACTAGCATGGATAAGCTGACAGGTGTTCCTTAGACAGAATTTATTGTTCAATATGATGTTAATCATAAATATTAAACATAAAAAATATTACTGTATAGCAGACTTTAGTTAGCCCCTGAATTAGCAGCTGTGTTTGCCCTTGTCTATTGGTTGACGACGGTGGTTTTTTACTCTGTAGCTAAAAAAATAAGAAAAGCCAGAACTATCAAGGTGGGGCTTTAAACAGTTTTGACAGGGTATTAAATTAGGCTTCTCTATATTGAATTAAAATTTATAATGTCATATACAGATAATTCCCATAATTCAATATTTCATAATTCCTTTTCATATCTATGGTTGCTAGCCTCTCCAGTGCTAACGCCAGCCTATCCATGGTAGTCGCTAGCCTCTCTGATGCTAACGCAAATGAATAGTCTCCTTCTCATTTGCCAGCTCCGGCCTCTCAGTTACCAGGGTCAGCTGCTCGATTACTGGTGCCGGCCTATCATTAATCAGATTAATAACTGGTTTAGGAATAAATATAGCCTCCTGCTACAAGGATGTAGCAACTACTGGTTTTGCAATAGTCCTAATTTTGGCTCTTTGTGCCATAGAAGACGTGATGGAACCTACTCAGCTGTCGCCACAAAAACTTCTAATCCCGCCCCCAAATCCAGAGAGCAGAAAACATTTTGTGCTAATAAATTAAATAATTTAAAAAAGAAACTTCAATATGTTTTAAATGTTTTGCCTCTGGTTATGTCATTCTTGCTGCTTTTTGCTGTAAAATTATTTTAATGTCCGCCTGTGAATTAGAAGCCGTAATACTTTTTTATTTTGTCATTATTTTTTGGTAATTTCTTTGTTTATTATTTGGGAAATGTCAATTCATTTTTTGTAAGGTCCCAATAAAATTAAAACAAAAAATGTTTGTTTCCAAAGACAAGTAACCAATCTAACAATTGTTATGACATTTCAAAATAAAAGCCCTTCAAAATTGGATATGTTCCTTTTTTTGTCCTTAATTTGACAGTTTCCAGAGACCATCTCACTTAAAACAAGTGTGTTTCCAGCGAGGCCATTGTAAGTAACCGTGTTTCCATCAAGGCTTTTTGATGCGCATTTAGAAGTGTCGCATTAAAAATGCAAAAAAAAAAAAAAAAAAACAGTCGGATGGAAACAGCAAAATTCGGGAAAAAAAATCCTCAATTCGCTAAAAAGTTTTCACGCTCGCTTGAGGTGGTTTTTGGTTTATTCACAAAGTGGTGAATGCGCAAAACGGGAGATGGAAACACGTTTGTCGAATAAATTCTGACGTAGCGCATATTTACCTCACGTGACGTTCAGCTGTTTCCACTTTCCTGCCTCGTCCCGGATGTTATCATAAAAGCGCGAAAACATGCGTTTATTTCCCTACGTCTCCTGGCAGCGTTAAACATAGCCTGTACTAGCTGAATAGATAGAAAAATTACAACTTGCCCAATAGCAAGGCATTCACAAAAAATCGTTCCATTGTCCCGAGATGATTAGCCTCTACTAGTTAGCAAGTTTCACTTCCTGTTTACTATCGCATAGCTTGTTGCCGATGTCTGACGTAATCACGCCTTGCGTAGCCTCGTCTGACGTAATCACGCGTTGCGTAGCCTCGTCTGACGTAATCACGCGTTGCGTAGCCTCGTCTGACGTAATCACACGTTGTGTAGCCTCGTCTGACGTAATCACACGTTGCGTAGCCTCATTTATTCGCATCAAACAGTCGAGAGGGAAACTAGATGGAAACAGTCTAGATTCGAATTTTTATTTATTTWATTTTTTGTGAATTTTAAAAAGTTCGATAAAAATTCACTCTACAGCTGGATGGATACACGATTAAGATGTACACAAATTTTTGATTGAATGGTAAACGGACCTCATTTTCTTTTTGCGACTTGGTTTTGAAAAGAAAAAACCAAACACGGATTGACAAGAGCGTCCGCGAATCTGGTTTTCTTACGTTCGATGCAGCGGCAGCCCATCCTGAGACATCGAGCGTAGGCCTCCAGAGACGACTCGCTGGAAAACTGGTCACCTGTCAGGTAGCTGGAGAGGACAGGAAGTTCTGGGTTACAGCTCAAAGGAACTCCTACTCAATCCGTGACCAAAGACTCACGTGTTGTGCGAGGAGGAGATCCAGTACTGGGACATCGGACGCTTCATGTCGTCAGGAACCACGGGCGACAGCCGAGGGTCGGACAACGAGTTCTCTTTGGAGAACAGGAAGGTGAGGAACTGGAACAACAGGAGGAAACAACGGCTGTGAGGTGGAGAACATCTTCCAGCGTGGTTTCAGCTCCTCATCGGTACCTCATCCAGCTGCAGCATCGGCTCAAGCTGCGGACCCCCCTTCATGTAGCCCATCAGAAACTCTCGGACCCGACTCGGATCTGACGCCCAGGACTCCTGAGACGAAGAAAAACTGAGCGCAGGTTTCAAATTTGCGACGTTACTATTATTATTATTATTATTATTTTCATACCTTCTGGTCCATCTGCAGGAACTTCTGGAAGTCGTAGAAGGTGATTTGACAAAGCTCCGGTCGGTCAACGTTTCTGAAAAGATTAAAAAAAAACTGTCAGAGGAGGGAAAATATTCATGCTAATAACGCTTCGTAACATGCAGAACATGCGTCATGTGCACCGAGGAGGAGGAARAGGAACAGTGAGGGACGTGAGGACAGAGGGAGCAAGGACTCACCGCAGAGGAAAGGAGAGCTCCAGCTGCTCGATAATCTGAGGAAGGAAAGTGGGAGGAGCCAGGTGACGGACAGGTGAGAAGGAAGGGGGTGGGGTGGCAGGTGACGCATAAACAGATGAGGACAAAGTGAGCACAGGTGGAAACTGTCTTGTGGAAAAACTTCAAATGCACCGAAGGAGACTGAGTGCAAAAATTAAATTAGCTGCGTGTTTTAGCCAATTTTTGCAGCAGCTGAATGTTAGCGTCCAATCAGACTCACGCTCCTCTGAGAGTCGAACATCAGCGTCCTGTAGAGCTGGGAGAAGTTGGGGTACGACAGCTCGCTCCTCGCCTCCACCTCCTGCAGAAACACAAGTTAGTCTGACCCGATTCGATGCAGAAAGGGAGAAAAACAGAAAGTATCTAACCTGCAGCTTGTCTTTTAGAAAGCGCGTGTTGGGGACTCTGTAGTTGATCTGAGGAAGAAGAGCTTTGACGTCCTTTAACGTGATGCTGGAGAGGAAAACAGGAAGCACAAAAACAAAACTAAATTTAATTTTCTGCAAAAATGCAGAAGAAGAAGCTAAACACAAGCTGAAATAAATGTTATATTATTAATGCTAGTTTAATTTGAAGAGCTAACATTTGTTAAAGAAATTAAAAGTGGGAATATACAAGAATTTCCATGAAACGACATCAAAATTGATCAAGAAATTCGAGACATGAAGAAAACAAAATTGAAAGGTGTTTTTCATTTGAATTTGGACATCTGACTTTTGCTGAAAGTAGGAAATCAAAAAAGGAAAAATCAGAAATTGGCAACTGTGTCAAAAAAGCTGAACAGAGCGGAAAAGTAGCTAAAATTCACAGAAAATAGTAAATATTTGCGAAAAAAGTGGCTTAAAAATAAGAAAAACATTGAAATCAGAAAAAGGTGCAATAAGCAAAAAAAGTAAAACAAAAAAAAAAACAGAATAAAGCTGAAATTTAGTTTAAAGAAAGTAAAATAATCAGAACAATTTCAAACTTTTCACCTTGACCTTTCCAACAAGACGTGTCAAGTTTGATGTTTGTGTTAAACAGTTATGAAATTAAACCTACTTAAAGACAGTGGTGACCTTTGACCTTGAAATTTGACCCCTTGACTTTGAAAAAAAATATGGACAATCTTTGATCCACATTGTGTCTGGCTGTGAAGTTTGACCGTTCTAAGTTGATCAGTTATCTAATTAGAGCTATCCAAATTAAAGGCTGACCTTTGACCTCGACCTTTGACCCCTGACCCTGAAGTTACTAAGAATCATTGTTGACCCACAACTTGTTCAGCTGTAAAGTTGGACATTCCTACACTGCACGGTGACAGAATTAGAGCTCAAACAGATTGCGTTAGCTGTTAGCCATCTTGATGTGTTAATTAACTTTCAGCAAGTGGTTGGAGTTGCTTTTGCTACTACCCCACTGAGTTACCTCAATATCTTTAAATCTAATTCAGTAGACAGTGAAAGAACTTAATTTAGCATTAAACAGATGAAAGTAGTGTAAAAAATTTCTTAAAACGGTAGCTAAAATAAGCTAAATGTAGCAGAAGTAAGTGGGAATTAGCAGACAGATGGTAAAAGAAGTGTAAAAAATTCAAATTATAAGCAAATCAAGAAAAGGAAAAAAGTTGCAATTTGTTGGAAATGAGCTAAAACAGTTGAAAATAGAGTAAAAAAGCTGAATGAAGCTGAAAAAAATAATTAGGGAAAACCTGCTGAAGGAGTTTGCTGAATTAAGTAGTAAAAAGCTCAGAGATCYGCCCGGAGTTCCTCAAGGCTCTGGATGTTGTAGGGTTGTGTTGGCTTACGAGACTCTGCAATATCGCATGGACATCGAGAGCAGCCCCCCTGGATTGGCAGTCTGTGGTGGTGGTCCCCCTGTTTAAAAAGGGGGACCGGAGGGTGTGCTCCAATTACAGGGGGGTCACACTCTTAAGCCTCCCTGGTAAGGTCTATTCAGGGG